GGTATTGAGACATTGACAGTATTGTATTACAACGTAATCGATATGGTACATCTAAACCTCTGTAGTCTGTTCGCTAAGGATACGACACCGAGTTTTGGTATTGTTACACACTAAATGTGTAATGACTTTATACAATCATGACACACGTCTATTGCTATTTATAACTGCCTAACATTAGCTATTGACATACTGGAGTTTAATCATGGGTAAGGCCATTGAATGTTCGTCTTTTTACATTAATAATCGCATGGCTGATATGAAATCCCGAGTCGATGAATGGTAATGTCTAATTTGTTTTGCACTCCTCACTGTACCTGACATACTAGCTTTATTCGTGTCAGTAGGACCGACGGTATTTCTGTGTACACCGAAAATACTTTAAACTATTAGTTGTTTCTGATAATGTTCAACGATGAGGCTAAAATTCAAATCTAACGAAAACTTAAGCATATGTCTAGCTACTGTCATTATACTCATACACTACTCTTTATGTTGCCTATCACGCACATACGTTACTTTCTGGTCTTAATTCATAATAAAAGCGTTACCATTCGGACCACTGCCAATGACATATAATCGTTAGAAATGGACAGGTGTGCCAGAGCTGTGTTCATAGTGTTTGGGATGATTTTGATGGGTATAGTTCCAGGGATTCGAATGAGTAGTAAGTTTACATTTGTTTATTTATTACTTTTGAAATATGATGTAGATAGCAATCAATCAATGTGATCTTATCGGGGTTGAATAAATATGCAGAAACACCGACAGGTACATTTGTATGTGAATTAAACATATTATGTCGGAAAGATCAACATGACAGTGGTGATACTCCTATTACAATTATTAAGGATTATGTAAAAAGTACCACATTTTATATGAAATAAAGACTGTACTTTAAGAAAAGACAAAATCAAAATATCATGAATATCATTGGTGCTCTCGTTTGGAAGTTTGAATACACTTTTATTACATTTTTATGAATACCAATGTCTTTGTTGTATATAACTACTGTGAACTTCTCGGTGCTAGAAAGATATTCATGTTGAAAGAGTACGATAATCTAAAAGGTCCCATATATTATTACTGTATAGCGGTCTAGAGTGCCACTATTGAGGTAAATTGGCACGTTAAGACTAGGATGGGCTGTTATGTACTTTCCGTGTTACAGTTTTCATATTTCATATAACAGCAAAAAAACGAAATTGTAATAGATGCAAGGCACATTTACTAAGTTGTTATAAAAATATATCACATAATATATACCATGATGTTTTTTTTTTATCGAATTCAGTCTTGTGTGTACTTCAAAAAGAATTAAAAGAATGATAACTCAATTTCACACTTACAGTCAACCTAAAGAATCAGTTGGAATTGGATGCAACGCCTGTGAATTCAAATTACCCTGTCTCCGGCACAACAGACGGAATTTACGGCCCTTTTGCTTCCAGTATTTGTATGGCCTCCATAGAGGCAAACATGGTCTGGTGGCGAGGGACTTTACCTTCTAAGGCAAGAATACAGAACATCGACATCGTGTTTAGAATTGCAGGTAAGTCATAATACTAAAACATACTTTTATCTAACTTGGTGAATGATTGTCGGTGCAGCACTTGTTTTCTTGTTTTGCACTCTTGCAAGCCGTGTCGATGCTAGAGTTAACAAATAAGACAGACACTATATATGTCTGTTCCTTAACAATAGTAATCAGTGAAGAAGACAATCCTTTTCCTATGAATAGCAAGAATTCATGATAATTTAACAGAACAAAAGAGATATATCATTATCATCACCCCATGTAAAAATGTACAATATGGCAATAGTGGCTATCCATCTAAAAATACATGCACTGTATTATCATCTATAAACTAGTTTATACCATCTACCGGTAGCATGATCAATTCAGTATAATTGTCAGTATGAGAAGAAGTTGAGAACGACTTGAGAACAGTTTGAAAAGAAATTGAGAACGGATTTTCCATATCCCCAGCACTTGTGACCGTATTTTTCTAAAACAAAAACGTCTGCTCACGCCAGATGACGTCCAAAACCGGAAATAGTGTCCACACAAAAGTGATCCGCTTACGAATATAGTCCATCTTAAACATATCAATACAAAGTTACGGAAAAATATTGTGAGAATAACAACACCATTTCAGGTGTAAACGTGCCTATGGAAAAGCCAATGGTGATAGGATTGTTTTAAAAATGTGTTGTCTACGTAGTTTAAAGGTTCATTGTATTCCTCCGCACAAAACTTCTATTTGTTTACGTTTGTCACAGGCGATCGTTGACCATTGAGCTTAGAAGTCATCTGGAAAAAATAATGTTTAGTTGAGGTTTTTTAAATGGAGAAATATATAAGGTAGTAGTATATAGAAAATAAATAGTTTATCATACAGTATTTTCATTGTTTGTCGTTCGAACAATTTTATCATCGCTCGCATGTAGATTAAAAAACTGCGGTGGCCTCTCAATTTTATCCATGTGCTCGCAATGAGAGTTGTTCTCACGACAAACCCTGAAAATACAGTGTGATAATCTATAATTAAAAAACTAATTGACAATAACTGTATGGTAGCTAACTCCCATTTCGTAATGTTAAGAAATCAAATTTCCTGGCAGGACAACCAGGATTGTGCCATCGTCACTTTCAATGGCAGTGTGTGTTTATTTGTATGGTACTCATTCTTTATTATCTATTTTGACTTTACAAGACTACCATAAAGTAGACAAACCATACATACATTCCTATGCCAGTACTACTTAAAGTCAAAAGCCTTCATATTGCTTTCCTATCTTTCTGTCAGCGTCGTTAACCACACATAAATATCATTTGAGTAACGACGCTGTGTGAAATAAAGATCGCATCTCATTTGAGTAACGACGCTGTGTAAAATAAAGATCGCGTCTCATTTGAGTAACGACACTGTGTAAAATAAAGATCGCGTCTCATTTGAGTAACGACGCTGTGTGAAAGAAAGATCGCGTCTCATTTGAGTAATGACGCTGTGTGAAAGAAAGATCGCGTCTCATTTGAGTAACGACGCTGTGTGAAATAAAGATCGCGTCTCATTTGAGTAACGACGCTGTGTGAAATAAAGATCGCGTCTCATTTGAGTAACGACGCTGTGTAAAATAAAGATCGCGTCTCATTTGAGTAACGATGCTGTGTGAAATAAAGATCGCGTCTCATTTGAGTAACGACGCTGTGTGTAAGTTGTGAACGTAACAATTCACTGCTATCTCGGTGAACACGATAGGTAAATCATAGGATGTAAAATAGTCATTATTAAAATGTTATATATACTTTGTTCAAGTTTGACCTTGACTCTTGTATTTTTTTTAATTTATCTTTATCGTCGACAGATCGTGCCGATGGCTTTGCCTTGTGGATATCAAACGATAGAAGTATACCGTCCGGTAACAAATGTTACGAGGATATGGACGCCGGCGTCCCAAACCTAACTCAAAACATTACCTCGTGTAACAGAACCGGTCAGAGAGTGATGATAATCATCACAAGGACACCACCACGAACAGAGTATATGGACGTGTGTGAGGTGGATATTTACGGTATATATATACTTTATAGCGTTACGTAATGCAAGAGATGATTGTTATACAGAAACTGAAATAATGTCTTGTAAATTTCATATTAGTATGAACGTTTGTGGCTCAAATTCAGCTTGCATACAAAGCGTTCAGTTAAAAATATGGTACAGTAGTTCATACTGGTATTATTATTTCAAGATTATAATTTCATTTTGTGGGCAAGTAGTGCAAATGCAAATACGTTTTAACGACTGTGTTATATCAAAGTACATACATTTCTATCAATTTATATGTAAAGGTTAATTTGTAAAATAAATGTTCCTGTATTTCCTTCTGTGTTTTCTCACAACGTTTGTGATTACTATCAATACAGATTTTAACAATTAAATTTCCAGGTTGTTTTACACATACATATGGTGACCAGTGTCAATATAATTGTACCAACTGTAAACACGGCTGTAACCCTGACAGCGGAGTTTGTGATTCAACACACTGTAATGCGGGCTGGACTGGACCACGGTATTGTAACCAAAGTATGTACAGTGTAGCATTAGGGACACGTGTCTTTAGAAGCATAGTGTTAACCCCGACACAGCAGACTTAAATTATAATATGTTTAAGATGGTTTGTATTGACCACCATCTAACAATTAAAAACATATAGATAAAGGTCAAGGAAGAAAAATAACCCCGACGCCAGAGACTTCAGTTGATTCAGTTGATATGATTTAGAGCGGGCTTGTATGTACCACGACCAGATAACATCATGTAACAAGTATATACTTAATAATACAAGACAAGGAAGAGCCATACTTACAAAGCTACTTCAGAATATATATAAGTGTTCTGTAAGAGGGACATGTGGTGAGCGATTCAACACAATCAAGGCTCTCTCTTTCCATTTATATATTTTTTTCTTCATTCCATACGTGATCGTTAATAGACAGAAAAAGGGAAAGAGTCGAATTTCATTGATTCCTAGGAAAATTCGGAACAATCGGAATGATTCTGACATTCAGGACTATGCAATACTAGATAGTAGTTTTTAATCGTCATTCTCATATTTATTAGAAATAATACACAACATTTATGTTGTATTTAATGAGACGGAACAGAAAACTTTAGCATGCACACATAGCACACCAACATATGTTGTTTACATCGGTTAGATAAATATCTCTAAAGGGCTCAGTGCAGTAACATTAATTATGTATGTATCTCTATTTCAGCTTGTTCATCACTTACATTTGGAGAGAACTGTGTTCAGGAATGTCATTGTAAGACGCCCGGATGTAACGGAGAGACCGGACACTGTAACACACCAGGATGCCAGGCTGGTTACCATGGAACCAGTTGCAGTCAAGGTTAGTCACGGCTTTTGATATCATTGTCACGTGTATTTTGTCTGTTTGTTTGTAAACTGTAATTGTGTGAGCATTCATTTTTTTGGCTAATTCAGATGAAGACCATTCCCATGTATATTTTGCAATCACGAATACATTTTAGGTAATTGTTGGTTCTGTAAAACAGTAGAAATTTATATATTTCATTACTTATAGGTTGCTCGATCACAACGTTTGGAGAAAACTGCTCATCCATGTGTCACTGTGAAACTCCTCGTTGTGATTCCGGTACAGGTCAATGTATCGTTACCGGGTGTGCAGCTGGCTGGAAGGGGGAGTCGTGTGACACACGTAAGTTTAAAATGTCATTTAGAATTTCTATGTAGCTAAAATATTTTTAGAGTTTTGGACATACAAATGTCCTGTAGCTATACCATTTGTTGAAAGAGTAATTTTAGCAAAAACCAACATAATAATGATACATAATTAGACTGGTGGGAAAACAAGCTAGAAATTTAATATATATAATAGCCATTTAAATATAAAATTATTTCATGTTGTACTTAAATATGAATATACTATCTGTAGCTCACCATGCATAGGTAGCTATGTAAAGTAGCGCACGTTGGTCATGGGTGATATATTTGTACAATGACTTTACCTTGTAATATAACATGTATCAAAACTTAAAAAACAATGAGCACTAACATTAGCATATACATGATGAAGTGGACTATGTTGGCTTCATAATTATTTCAAGATTTTGTTTTTATTTGGTTTGAGACTACAGTTTTGGCCATTTTACAAATCTGTGTCTACACAACATAAGATAGCTTTACATGTAGTTCACTTTTGTAGTCAGCACTTGCGTAAGTGTTGTGAAAATCTGCCGGAATGACCTATGATATTTAATTTTAGACAGTTTTTAAGAAATAAAACTATCTGCGAGGGTCACATTTTGGATCAGGCCATTTCTGCTGTAATCTGCTACCTTACTTTCAGAATGTTCAGCAAACACTTTTGGCAAAGACTGTCTCCTAACATGTCATTGTAAGATACCCGGATGTAACCGTGTCACTGGAATCTGTTTCTCATCTGATGGTTGTAGCGACGAATACATTGGTAGCTCGTGCAGTAAAAGTAAGAATTACCACATTGGCTTCATCTTAATACTGGTATGTACAAAACAAATAAAAAAGAGTTTCCTAGCACTTCCCTAGTACTTTCACCTCTTTGGAGGTCCATCAAGACGCCATATTTATATTGCACTCTACAATATAAATATGGCGTCTATCTCAATATTTGTGGAAGAACAGAAATGGTGTTACAAAAATAGATATATAGTTACAGGAATAAGTATAGCAACATACTTTTCGCATGCAACGAAACGATCAGTGCTGTTGGAATTTTACCCAGGTTTTAGTCTATCGATTAACAATGATTCTTTTGACATTATTTTGCATAGTCTCTTCTGTAGTTCGAATTACATGGAACTTATCATTTGCACAAGAATGTATATGTGTACTTACAGTTAAACATCTAAGATGGTCACGTGTTGTCTATTGTCTGTGCTATGTCAAACGTTGAGGTAATTCACAACCAGTTTGTCCAATGTAAAATTCAGAACAATTTGCACAGATAATTGTATATATGTATATTGATTGCACCTTATTACTAAGAATAAGTGCAACGGGTGAAACTACTTTGCTTGTATAAAAGTTACAAGAAAGGAAGCACATTTTGTTTAGTTATTAACTGCATCCGAACATGGGTAAAAAAACAAAACTATTTCCAATGGTAAACATAACTGTTAATCGGACTCAAAATCAATAAACAAAGAGAAAATAGCTTCTTTCTGTGCAAACATGGGTACGAACATGGGCACGAACATAGTATTGAGAATCTGCTTAAGTCAATATAAAGATAACAGGAGGGGGGAAGTGGTCACTACCGACAAGAGAGGAATATCACTCATACAGGCAAGGCTTTCAGTAAATTGCTAATATATATACCGTCCTTACCTTAAAATAAAGGATACAATATACTCTTCTATACCAGCCGCTTTCCACGAACTTTAGTAACAACATGGCTAAGAGGATCGATGAAGATTATGGGTAAGATTGATAGTTACCGTCACGATATCATTGGGGAATATACTATTCCTTTATGACATATGAAGGTCGATGCTATTTATTATGTTCAGTAAGGTGCCTTTTTGTTTCGCCGTCACGGTCCCGGTTATCGCTATGAAGACGTGACTTTAATTGGATTTGGATTTGAACTAGTTTCTCATGGCAGGTGTCGTCGATAAAGCAAAAGACGCTTACCCTTCCGGAAATCTTCTTATTGAAGAGTCTGCATGTAAAAAATGTTTGTTCATATTTTGCCTCAGGTTTATTGCTTTTGAGTTCTAATTGCGGTTTTCTTGACACGTGTGTTTGTTCTGCATTCTGCATTGACATCCTAATTTTTTAATGATTCCCATACCACTGACAAAAGCTGTAATTATACACTGAAAACCGATTTGTCCGACATAACTTTGGCTGCGATAAATAATTTCTGAAAAGAAACCATACCTTGCGGGATATTTAGGAAAACTATTATAGATGATATAGACAAAATATGATCAACAATAGGCTTCTGTTTATAGAAATTCAGAGGGGACAGACCGGGATTCGAACCCTGGACGTCATATTGTCAAACTATTGGCCAAGCAGGCTGATCTACCTGGCCAATGGACGTGTCGAGGCTCAACTGTGCTAGTTATGTCTAAAACAAAATTAAGGGGAAATTACTGCATATACGAAAAACTACTGTGCTGTGCGACAGCTGTGTCACTTAGTGTTTTTCGTTGTTATCTTTAATAACGTT